TGCCAGGGCGCAGATTCCTGGGACTCCAGTGGCAGGACTCAACCCCAGCCCGGCCGGCTCCTGGAGCCCCCCTGGCACACCAGGGCACAAGGCGCCAGCCCCCTCCCCGTTCGGGATGCCGGTAAGAGGTGAGGCGGGGCGGGAGCTGCACTCTGTCCACCAGCTGTGGCCGGGGTGCAGGGCCCTGATTGCCCGGCTCGCCCGTGCATGCAAGGGGAGTGTGCAAGGGCAGGTGCCAGAGGGGCATGTGCATGCATAAGGCATCGGTGTGTACTCAGGAGAGCAAGCGTGTCCACACTTGTGCGCACTGGTGCACGCATGCATGGCACCTTTACATCAGGGGTGGGTGTGAGTTCATGTGTGCACCGGGCTCCCCGTGGCCCGGCTGTTTCGCTGTGGCTGGCCGTGCCCCCGCTTGGGAGGGCTGAGGCTGTCTCAGCCCATCACCAGGGTGTCAGGTCTGGGACTGGGGGGGCTCCCTGCTGTTGGCAGCCCCCCACTTCCATCCTCAGCCCCCTGCCCCGCGCCCCAATCCTGCCCTGCAGCACAGATACTCGCGTTCTCCGCCGGCTGCAACAAAGGGACCGATTCATGGCTATTTATAGCTGGGCCGGCGCGTGAAAGGCGCCCATTCAGCCCGGCCCAGACAGGGCAGCTTTCACTGCCGAGGCCCCTGCCCCAGACTACATCTCCCAGGAGCCCCCTCCTTGCCGGGGGTCCCCAGGCCCTGCCTTATTCATTCCAGGCGTGGATGGAAGTTGGGGGACGCGAGTCCCGGCTGGAGCCCTTGCCCCAACGCTGGCCGTGAGCGTGGCTAGCAGAGCGGGGGCCTGGCTAGCAGGCAATGTGGGTTTGGGGGCAGCGTCATGGGGGCACAACCCTAGCTGGTTCCTCATACCCTAGGTGATGTGTTCAGGAGAGAGGTCATGCCCAGGGTCACCCGGCAGGTCAGTGCCAGAGCTGAGGATAAAACCCAGGCGTCCGGGCCCGACTGCAGCCCCAGGCCTGCTGCATCAGGCCCCAGACAGGGGGGCATGCATGGGCTGGGGGAGGCTGCAATGGGAACGCCGGCATTTGCCCCCCCTCCCGCGGCTGGAATGCGGCGGCGTTTCCGGTGGGACAGCTGGGGCGATGCGGGGTATGGGAATGCGGCGGGGGGGAGGCCTGTCGTGAGCGCTGGCTCTGTGCACGGTGCCCAGGCAGGGCCGCGACCCAGCGCCCCACGGCACCAGCCCAGCCACGTCTCTGCTCCGCAGCCAGGGAAGGGGCCAGAGCCGCACAGCTTCCGCGAGAAGGTGTTCAAGAAGAAGCACCGGGCCTGCGCCGCCTGCAAGGAGCCCGTCGAGGCCCAGGGGCTGATCTGCAAAGGTAATACGGGAGTGGGGGGTGCCGGGGGGGCTGGTTGACCCCCTGCTCCCAGAGCATCACCCCCACCCAGGCACCGTGGCCCCTGACCCCCTTCTCTGCCCGCAGTGTGTAAGATTGCCAGCCACCGGAAATGCGAAGCCAAGGTAAGAGCCTGGTGGGGGGGGGCCCAGTTGGCCTGTGTCCCTTGACAGGAGACAGAGCCAACCCGCCCAGTCCAGCCCAGTTGGCATGTGGCTCTAGGGATGGACTGTGCTGGGAGGAGAGAGGATGGACCGTGTCCCCTGCCCGCCCCCCCCAACTTCCTCTGCCTTCCCCATGACCCGGGCTCTTATCTCTGCTGGGAGGCAATGAGAGCTGGGGTCCCGGATGCTCCCAGGGGACCTGGGCTGAGGATGTGCAGAGACA